GGGGAATCCGTCTTCGGAGTTGGGGGCGTCTTCGGGGAATCCGTCTTCGCTAGGTGTCTTCGGGGTTCATCAAACATACACAGCTGCGGCGAATCCGTCTTCGTTAGGCGGATGCGTCTGCGGGTGAAAAAGTGCCCCCGCCAGGGCGGCTGCAATGCATACTTGGGTCACGGCTGCTATCGGATACTGCTATCGTGTATTATCACGACTCGGTGGGTGGGAGTAACCTGCGCGTTATGCCAAATGGCGGCATGGATGTTGTGAGCTTCTGCGACTGCAAACTGTCACTTTTCGCTACTAGGAGCAAATAGCTCCTAGTAGCTTCTTGCTCCTAGTAGTACGGCCAGGAGCCCCCAGTAGCGTCCTTGTTCCTAGTAGCAATGCCCTTTGCTCCTTGTCACTTTTTGCATACTTTATATAACTCTTCACGTGACACGTCTAGCTTTCCCGCTGTCATGCACAGTCAAACCCGAGCTCGCGCAAGTCATGAAGTCATGCGCTTAGCTCGTCACCAAAACCACGAGAAGCTGTTTTGCACGCGAAGCTGTGGTGGGTAGGCTGTAAGCATTTCCCATGTAGATCCTTTGCACGAAGTGTCTGAGCAACATAATACTGGTGTGACTCTGTGACTAATCACCCTTTAGATGTAGAAGTAGTTGCTGGCTTTCAAGGTGTAATGCAATGGAAATGATGCGACTACTTCTGAAGCCACTGAAACTACGAACAAACAGGTGATTATTTATAAGATACAGGGCAAACCAGAGATACAAAGGCCCAGATATCGGTTCTGAGTTCTGAGGACCCTCCAATTTCGCATCCCTCTGAACCGCTTAACAGACACTCCTGGAGCGCTCCGCAAAGGCTTCAGCTGGAGTATATATGTGGGACATGTAGATGCCGACGCAGCTCCTATCTTCATGTGTGAACTTGGTTGAAGGCTTGATTAACCCATCCCAAATAGGAAGCCATACCCAGAGCGGGGCACCTCCATTGTCGAAATTCACCAGAAAAGCCGCTTTGCAGCCGTTGAACCTCTCCCGAGACTCTCTGCATTCGATAGCATGACCCCAAACACGGCTTCATTATGTGATTCATACAGTAGGCCAGGTCAAGTATGCACATTCTACAGCAAAAAAGGCTACCTTTAAGTGGCTCCATGCTCTTCAGCCTAGATTCTTCGGGCCCTTCACTTCAGGCCTCCTCCATCAGGGGCGCAAAATCCTCTGGACTGATCCTTGGACAAGCAAGATCTTGCAGAAACTCCAGAAAGTCCCCAAGATCCCGTCACAAGTGCAGCTGTTCTCATATGGAACTGCTCAATTGAAGCTGGTGATGCTCTTTGGATGCGTCTTTATGTTTGATCCGAGCATCTTGTTCTCTCGCACAGACTGGCGAAGTGCTCGCAGCCCGGGCTCCACCTGTTGAAGAATTTTCACCCCCTTCCCTGTCGGCCTCCTTGGGGCTCAGACTTCAAATGTCAGAAGTTAGGACTGTCCAACAGATTCCCTATCAAGGCATTTGGGCATGCTGGAGCTCTTGAAGCTCTGAAAAAGCCTCTGCCCTGAAAAGCCTTCACTTCAAGCCCCAGGACACCAGCCCGAGAGCCTCAGGCCTCACAACGAGAACAAGGCTTAACAAACCTTCCCCCGCGGAAAATTCCACAGCTCCCATCCATAAGGCCTGCTCGAAGCTTTGGGTGAGTTGGGTCAGATCACAGTCCCGTCGCAAACGGTGCATCTCCTGACTTCACAGGACTGACTGGAGACTGAAGTCATCGGGCAAGCGCTGCACGGATTCATGCTTGAGTTTCACATGCTGCAACAATGTTGGTGAAGTGATAATTAAACAAGACCCTAGCAAAACACGTGTCAATCTTGCGATCAAGCCAGCAGTTGTTGCACGATGCCGAGTGTGCATCGTCCGAGTGTGCATCGTCCTACTCTGTGGGATCAACCTAGGTGCTCCCCCTCCGTCGAAGGTGCAGTAGCCACCTACTGAGACATGGTCTCCTCCACCAACTTTTCTCCAAACTCCTGCAGGGCTGCGAAGAACAAAATCGGACAACCGTGATGGCATGAGCGGTTAGCTTGGTCAACATGACCTCGCATCTGTAAACAATCTTGTTCCAACACTTACGGTGACCGCTCTTGTATTCACTCCAACCAACAAAACTATATCCAAACAATTAGTTGTATCTCCTCACTATCTCCACCCCTCCACCCGAGAGCTGCAAAGGGTCCCTGCACCAGCGCCCGCCTCATCAATGCGCTTCCGGTCCTGGGTTGGGGCACAGAACCCAAGCAATTTCCCTGTGCGTGTGCTTTTTTGGATGTTTTCGATCCTGGTCAGTTTCAGCTCTGTAAGAGGTTGTCATTTCATGCACGTACTCATACCCAGGGTGATCATGCGAATCCATCCTACTTCTCTGAAGACAAGCTGGCCGCGAATGCAGGCTGTGGTCCTGCAAAGCCCGTAAGATTGGAGAGAAGTCCACCTGGCAATGGTGAATGCATTGGTCTTCCACAAAACCAACCCGTCATGCAATAAAATCTGCTACATGAGCCAAGCAAAAGCAGCAAGTCTTTGAGGAACACATCCGGGCGTTCGTTTGTTGCAAGTCATACTCGTCCTATCAAGTTCTCAATCTCGCCCCAACAAAGCGTTTCACACAGAACAAGACATGCCACCCACAATGACGCTAGCGTCGAATCCAAATAGGATAAGATTTTTGTGAGCAGCGGCAGCACCCTGCATCGGCACCAGCACGCAGGCCCCACTCCAGACATTTGGCTGCAGCCCGGACCGCTCCACCTCCAAACTGCGTGCCATCTTCGGCAGCTCCGCCCGCGTCTCTCGCACTTCTTCCAAGACCTGAGCTCTCGCTCGCGTCGTCTCACGTGCTTGGGAGTCCCATCTGGCCCGTCTGGCCATGGGTCCTTTGAGGATGGAGTCGAAAGAACATCTCATATGTGATCGTATGCGAGTGGTTTGCCTTCCATTCGACCAAAAAGGATAAGACATGCGCCAAAAAAAACGACCTCCCTGTCAGGCCAACAAATCTGGAGTCCACAGGTCCAAAGCGCTTGACCAGACCGGCTAGATTGTCCTCGCTCGCTTTGTCATACTTCTAGCACTTTCTCATTAGTCATCTGTCTCACCATGGGACTCAACACTATCATCTGATCCGTCATTCCACAGAATGTTTGAAGCCTTTTCTGCGTAAGAACTGAACTATTCTTAAACCAAAACCACAAAAACACCTTGACATGTTTGCATCAGCACCTAAAACCCTTTTTGAGTCCTTCTGGACTTGGAAGGCCCTCTATACCACTAAAGCCAGGACCAGTCTGAGGCCCAAGTACGCGCTGTACGTCTGCTAGCAGGGAGCCAAAGTCCACCTTGCGCGACTTGGCAACTGGGAGGGCCTCAACTTTCCGTAGAGGGCGAGGCATGGAAGTGAAATGTGCCGAGCCTTGGGCATGCCCATACAGAATGTGATCTTCAGATCACAAAATGTTGTGAAAGGCTTGACCATGAGTTATCCAGGAGCAATCTTAATCCACTTCCCGCGCACGCCACGCTCGCCTTGTAGAGTGCCGCCTTGGTTTGTGTCATCAGCTCCCAAGCCTTGTCACAAACTCCGAGTCTCCAAGACCGAAGAAGGTCATCCGGTCACCACGAAATCCATCAACCACCACCGGTCCAAAGACGACACACAAGCCAGCGAACAGGCCATATTTCCGAAGTCTTGTGACACTTGTGGTTGCAAAAGTTAAAGGTAAACAATCCTTTGCATCTTAGAGTGAGATCCAAGAAGGACATTCAGTACATTCACCCCACTGTGAAAGGGTTGGTAAAGCTTGTTCACATGTTTGAGCATTCACTGCCAAAAAAGCTGTATATATATACATATATACATAGTCGTTTGGGCAACTGGGCAGCATGGCATTTTGCATGGTCTGTGAGAGGGCACTCACGTCGGCCCTCTTCACCACCACCTCTCGGCCTCGTGGGCAAGAAAGTTGGTGAATGGAGATATATGATATATGCAAATACAGTCAGAGGCCTGAAACAGGACCCAGTTTTCATTGGTGGATGAACGTGACTCTGTTGCAGTCGGAGAAAATATCCAAGGCAAAAGCTGATTTCCACCTCTTGCGACATCGATGCAAGGCCTTTCCTGCAAAGGTCGTTGGGCGTGTCAACGCAAAAAGCAAAGAACTTCGAAACAGGAACTTGGAACCTAGCGATCGGACGCTACTAGGGGCTCCTGGCATCGCTACTAGGAGCAAGGACTATTTGCTCAACATTGCTTCACGCGTTTTCCTTGCTCAGAATCGTGAGACATCATCACTCACAAATCGACATCGATGTCGACTGGGCAAGTTGCCCAACAACGTGCAGGATCTGAAACAACTAACTTTGTATTGTTGGCACCAGTGTACGGCTCGACAACCGGCAACAGAACACAAGCAACAGTGGCATTGAGTTCTGGAGAGAGCGAACTGTGCTCAATCAGAACAGGAACAATTCAATCAATCCTGAAACCTTTACAAGGCCCATCCGGAGCTGTTCACGACCACCTCTACATCAACGAGACTTGGCACTTGCAACAAGACCAGGAAGCAGAAAGAAGGCAAAACACATAGAGATCTAGGAGCTTTTCGTCCAACATCAGCAAGATCGCATCAAAAGAGAACCATGCAAATGTCTTCACCAAAGACAAGGCAGCATCTGCATACCATTGGTCTCACTGACCACAAGCGAACAGTTTCACCAGAAGCCAGTCACGGTACGCATAAGCAAGAGCACAAACAAGGATACATTTGAAGCCATGTAATGGCGTGGGGCCAACATGATCTTCATAATCATGTATATATATATATGTTACACAACTACATCTTTATGGTCTTCCAAAGTTCGGAATGCAACTTCTTGGTTCGCGGGCTCAACAAGGCGCATACAGTCATCAACCGCATGTCACAACAGTTGAACTTTACAAAGCAGAGACAGACAGACAAACAGACAGACAGGCAGACAGGCATACCAGACACCAGACCAGACCAGAGCAGACCAAAGCAGACCAGACCAGACCAGAGCAGACCAGACCAGAGCAGAGCAGACCAGAGCAGAGCAGACCAGACCAGAGCAGCATTATTCCATTCTTCCAGAATATCATAGAGTATCCCTCTTCTTTTCGGATACCGCTCGAGCTGGCCTCACTTGCTCCAGACTGGCCAGTACAGGTGACCTCATCGACGGGATGCTGACACGAAAGAGGACACAAACTGCCAAGCTGCTGTCTCATCCAATGCAATAATACCTTGCAAATACTGTATGTATGTATATATATATATATCCCCCAAATCCTGGGTTGATGAAGGACAGAATTGAAGGTAGCTTGGTTGAGATCAACTATGCTTCGACACATCTACATGATTAGGCCATCATTCCAGCAAGCCTCTCCACATTCTAGCTACCTCCAAGCCAGTGTATATAGTCCAGCCACAGCTTGGGAGGGCCCAGAATATCTGAGCAGGATGTTGATTGGCACAACCAAGGTTGCCAGCCTGGAGGCTGCAAACATACCAAGCCTTTTCGAACGCCCTTCAGTGCTTGGGTGAACAAAGACCGACCTTCTTCCTTTCCGCTCCATTTTCCCTTTGGGCCCCCTGGCAGGTCCGTCTGGTTCTGTCGCACCGACTCTCGCCTTAGTTTTCAGAGCCAGGAAAGCATCGGCTCACCAGCTGTGCCCTCTGGAGGGTGTGAATGGCTTCAAAAGGCAATAGCCAACAGCATTCTTGCGCATACACTAAGGGGAATATGTCGTCGCCCTCATCGCCCCACCCGAAGAATAACCGTAATGGTAAAGTAGATCTCTTTCCACTGGCTGAATTGTGGCAAGGAGCAAGGACATTTGGTCTTCATGAAGACCTGCCAGAGCACTCAGAATAGGAGACCTCACTTCGCGCAGTTGCTGAGCAAAGTTCTGCATTCCTTGCAACACCACTTGTATAACGGTCATTTGGCCAAGTTCGGCTTCTGAATTGCTCTGGCCACCACCTTCATATGAAACAAAGAATCTCCCAACGAAGCGCGCGGTCCCGAAGGGCCCCACAAGTCAACCTTCTGCTCTCGCGCTTGTAGGGCATGCAGGGCTGAAAGCACTGGTGACCTGGCTGGAGATGGGGAAGATGTGGCGAGAAGGGCTTTCGATGTTGGACTCGGAACAAGTCCTGAACCACCTGAGATGAGAGCTGCTTGATCCGCTTGATCCCTGTTGGAATCAGCCGCTGTTTGAGCCTCCGGACAAATCCACAGGTGGTGTCCCGTGGAGTTGGGCGAGTTGTATCTTGATCTCCTTCAAGAGGGAATTCTGGTCCAGCCTCGCAGATTGCGCACTGTTTCATTTTGCAGAGATCAAAACAGTTTTGACATGTCTTGACCAACACCGTTTTAGGGGTCCTCAACCAGTGGACAGATAAGACATTAATTTCCAGTCCCTCGCTGCCCCTTGGCTTGTTGCAGTTTCTGCCATCTGAGCATCTAGAGACGTGCGTCACTGCAAGTCTTGAAGGAAGAGCAGTAGCAGTAGTCACGTGCTAGTGTCAGTCATCCATATGTTTGGAGACAGTTCTGCATGTCTTCTAAACAACCACTCCTCGTCTGAGCTCCCACCCAAAATCCACGCAAAAGGCTCCCAGAGCGTGCTTGGCATTCACAACAGGCCACCCGCTTTCCTCCATGCATGACCAAAAGCCAACCCTGCAGCCAGGAAACCCCTGATCACTGAGGCGAACCTGGGGGTATGGGAGGGTGATATGACAGGGCCTAGGCCATCTGCATGTTTACGGATACAACACAAGTGGAGAAAAAAGAAACAGGACTCCAGCCAAACAAAGCCAAACATCGACTCAGATATGAAAGTAGAAGATCATTGCTCTGTCAGCTGACTGACGTTAACTTCATCAGTTTCCAGCACTCGTTCTGCTTGAAGATGAGGCACGCAGGCACCCAATAAAGCGTTCAGAACGAAGGGGGACAGTCGACTAGGTCCGTCAGATCCGTGGAAGCACTTAAACAAAGGTATATCTTTCAAGTACCTTGCAGACCCCTTTGCAAAAGGCTCATTCAAAGGACCGTCCCGTGAGAAGAGCACTTGTAAGAACTTCCTGTGGGTAAATTGAGCTGTTCACTTGTTCTTGTCTTCCATGATTGCTTAGCAAATGAAGAGGAGTTGCGGAAGCCAGTTGCAATGTGTCCAATTCCACACTCCATTTCGACTCAAGCCACGTGACCTTGAGATCCTCCAAACTGCTGCGCAGCTCAGCAAACAGCTGCTGAGGGTCTCTTTTGGCATTGATCGACCTGAGGTGGATCTTTCGTCAGAGGGTGATCCTCAATCCATGGATATCCATGAATAGCATTGTCCATAGACCTTCCGCCAAAACGCAAAAACAAAAACAAAAAACGATGAAAAGCAACGTGAAACCGGCGTCGGCCAAAAGAGGAGCTTAGACAAAAACTTGGTGTCGAATCCTTGCACCAAGTCACTCATTCAAATGATTGAAACTCTCCTGGTTGAACTTCTGCATGTCCTGCGAAGCTGTGGTGGTCTCAGGCGGGCACAATAGAAACTCACCTATCTAAATCACCAGCGAACCTGACAGCTTGCCATTCCCTATTCTCGCTCAAACTTGGGGCACAACCAACACTAAACCTGTTTCCGCCTCGATCTGCTGTAGCACTTCAGCGAAGACAGCGGCTTGCTGTATAGGGACCTGCAACCAAACAGGAATCCCAACGGCTATCCATTGTTGAAGGCGATCCACGAATCTTTGAGAGAATCAGGGCCCTGTGATTTGCCTACAAGCACTATCTGTATATGTTGAAATATATATATATATCACTTGTCACTTGTTTTGACCGTCCCATTTCTTAGACTTGTGTCTCAACTTCGAATGTATCATTAGCTTGAAGCTGTTGGACAACAAACATCGCCAGGTATTCTGGGCTTTGAAGCACTCAGGTGCTGCATCGAAACGAAAGTCTCAAGTCTCATCATTTGCAAAAATCACTTGAGGACAGTGGGGACGAAAGCGAGGGGTGTGGACGGATCAAGGGGACGCGGAGGGAGGGCAGCAACGCAACGCTTTTGTGCCACGAGCGCAAAGTGTTGTTGGCTGAGTCAACCGAACACTAAAAATAAACATCGACTTTCATATTGTCTTTTCTAGGCATTTGGTATGCTTTCTCACAAGGACGAGGGAGGAGTCGAATAGCCTCTTTCAATTCACTTTACAGGGGGGGGCCACCCACCCCCTTAGACGTTTCAATCTACTGCAATTGAAATATCGATTCCTTTGCGAGGGGGGGTGAGGTTATTGAAAGAATCAATAAAAAGGGAGGGGAAGGGGGGGGGCCCTCGGCTGACCCCTCCCTTTATTTGAAAGAATCAATTAGTTCACTGAACCTTTCAATTTTGAGCCTCACTATATGTCGTAAACAACAACTTCCGCTGAGCTCCTTCTGAGCTCGCTTTCGTGACAGAACCAAGCAATGTCGGGTCGAGACCAACCAATGTCCCACGCTGAATTCAACATTGGTTTGTCCAATCTATTGCACGGCAACACCAGGATGTCCAAATAAACACTGCCGATGACGTCGGCAGTATCCATTCCTTGTTGAGCTGCTCTTCTAAGGGTTAGCTTCGTAATGCTGATCCAACCCGAGTTATCTCTGGCCTCTGCCGGGCGGGCGCTGGCATCCCGCTGGGCCTCTGCCACAGCGCGCACGGCCTGACGGAGCCCGAGGTTGCGCCCTGGTGGGCGTCACTGCGAAGAGATGTGAAAAGTCAAGATCAGGGATGTCTATGACGGCTTCTAAGGGGAAGAAACTACTCCCAGGAATCTGATCTGCCAGCTCTGGAAAGTCCTGGGTCCGTGGCTTCAAGACTAGGGATAAACTATTTGTTATATATCCGATATCCGAAATGATCTACTGGACGATTCGAGGAATTCCCAATGCTACAAGCGATGTCCGGATGTCCGGTTCCACAACAACTTGTGTCCACAGAAAAGATTCAGCCCCAACAGAAAAGCTGTCATATCTGGGGAGGCATGCAAGAACCCTGGAGCCTGTCAATCCAACGTCCCCGGCCTCTTCAAGAACCCTGGAGCTGGCCTGCAAGTCCTCGGGAGCAGAGCTGATCTGCAGAGTCCAAGTCGATAAACCAAGCGAAGTGCGAGTGGCCTTGTCAACCCCTATCCCACGCCAGAAATTACAAACGTTTGTCAATCCTAGAGGATTCGATACTTCCCGCGCCCTGCGGCCGTCTCCACAAGAGGGCATCCACCAAGTGACCTGCGGTTTGTTAGTCATTTTCCCTGTCCACCATTGCCACCATGGGTCTTTGAAGGGTAATAGACAGTAGATACTGCCGACTGTTGCACAGCTGCAAGAATGGGAAGAACATGCAAAAACCCTTTGGCTGTGCAAATGCTTTCAGTGCAAATTTTGATGTTAAAAAGGTGAGCCGGAGGCTCGGGTTAAGGCACTCGAGGAACTTAACTTAGGAGTCCGAAGCCAACCCAACTCTAAGGCCCCGCACACTGATCTGACGCACAGTGGAGAGATCCATCTAGCATCGGTTGAAAAACCCAAAGGACCACCGATACACGCAGCCACAACGAAAGCTACAGACTGCAAGACACAGACACGAGTGTGGTCAGCTCAAGAGCTTTTTAAGCGGGAGTGGAGGCTCCATGATGGTCTATGTTCCCACTCTTGCTCAATCAAAGGCTCCAAGACAGCGGTCCAGGACAAGAATCATCCAGTCCCCCTACTATCAGGATCAGTTCTGAACGACTTGTGGATGAGAATGATCACTGAAGTAACAGTGCTGGAAAGGCCACTCAAGTCCCTGCGAAACCTTGCCTTCTCAAGCAAGGCAGCTTGCGTGAGGTGCAGCTGGTCCAGACGCGCGTGCACCTGGCTGGAACCGCGGTGGATCTGACAAATCGCACACCGACAATCCATCTGGTGGTGCTCGTGCCTGGTCCATTTGCATCGCTTGGCTCTGATCTATTTGCTCCAGCCGAGAAGAGACCTCAGACGGACATGGGCGGTGGTCGAAGATGCCCATCCTCAAAGAAATCTTGTCTTGTCCTATTGATTCTGGTGAATGAGAAAGCTCTTTGAAAGAGACCATCAGAAAATGTGTCCTTCGATTCACACATGATGGCCCAACAATGCCCAACAACTCAAAGTCCACGCAGAAAGGAACCCTCCGAAGCCGACTGGACACGAAGGAGCAGAGACGCACCTGCTCCCGTGTGAGCTCCAACAAAGCTTGCACACGAGCATTCAGCATGTGTAGCTCCTGGAGTCGATGCAGCTCTACCCAAACTTCACCCCTAATTGCGAGTAACCTATAGCAATGGTCTCCAACCTAATAGCGATGGCCTTCAACCTAGAAGCGATGGCCTCCAACCTAATAGCGATGGCGTCCAACCTAGAAGCGATGGCGTCCAACCTACCAGCGATGGCCTCCAACTTGGTCATCTGGTAAACCATCTCGTAAATCCGTTCGATCTGATTGGTGGATCATGAGGTGAGTGCGACTCAGTCCATGGCCGACCAAAACACCTGGTGTCACACAACCTCAGCTTGGTGAACTCTGCCAAAGCAAAAAAGAAAAGTGCGAAGCCGCGCGTCCTCGCTGCTTTGAGGACGGCGAGTGAGATCCGCCAGGAGCTGGTTGGATGCTTCCACCGATTCCCGGAGAGCGCGCCACTCCTGCTGATCCTGCAGTGAACATCAAATCCCCAAGCGATCTTGGACAGCTGGAAGATCTGGCTAACAAAGGTGGGGCGTTTCTGCAGTCTTTTGCATGTGATGCTTCACGGCCAAGTACCTTTTGGGAAGGCGAGTATTTCTGCAACCAAGGGAAACATTGTCATGGCGCTTTGCAATCGTCCCCCATCATAGCTTCTGAACTTGTGGCTTGCCAGTGATTCAAGCACAAGGAAACCCGTAAAAATGAAGGACCACCCTTGCAGTTCAAGTATTTCTGTGGCGTTTACCTCGACTTTTCAGTGGACTATGCAAGCCCCTTCTTGAAGTGGAGATGCAGTGCACTGCTATTTCTCCTTTGCTGACTTCGGCTCTGCTTCCTCGTGAGCCTCGCGAGCCGAACGCAGGTCGTGGCTTGACGCCGACATGGCTCGGCATGGCTGGGACGGCCCTCGGATTCCTCGCATTGGCTCATTTTGTTGAGCCACCTAGTGGAACTCATTTCATGAACCAAGGAACCAAGGAACAGGGATTCACTTCGGGCACGAAATAACGGCTCAACGAGGAAGTTCATGAACATGTTCATTCCCCGGGAACGGACCAGGAGCTGCAAGCTCTGCCAGCTAACGAGGAAAAACTGACATTTTAGGTCAAGAGAAATTACAGGAGGAAGCTGGCATAGCTCCTTTTTGGGTGGGTCTATTGGAAATTTAAACTAACGGACAAACGAGGAAGAACACTGTCTCAACAATTTTGGACAACTAACGAGGAATTTGAGATTCTTCATCAGAAAAAAAAAAAACGTGCATATCTGCATAGTATATCTGTACTGAAGTTGCTAACTACTGCCTCGTTAGTTCATGAGAGTCATTGGACTTCGAGAGTCGCCTCAGAACCCAACAGCCGCTGCTCCTTGTGACTCGGGGCTACAGAGACAGCCACTGGCTCGCTTGGCACAGGCAGGCTTTGGGATCGAACTCTGGCCTGGCCCAGTTGGGTTTCAAGTTCAACGATATCTGAACTCTCAAAAGTCAATGAGTGTTCTTGAGGCTGCAGTTTGCGAACACAAGAGGAAGAGCACGGAAGCATTGAGAAATGAAGGATCAAGGAGGTTCCACCTTACACAAAAGCATCTTTGTTCTAAAGACATTGTCAAGGGATGGAAAGTCAATCAATCTTTCGGCCTCCTCGTACATGTGAAGCTGCTGGCCTCATTGCAGGTCATCGATCCCTTGCCATCACTGGGTTGCAACTTCAAGCAACAGGTCATCTTTGAAAGAGACTGAGAATTTGATGAGGAAACATGTGTTGAATCAAAACACGTAACACGCCACGCAGGATCAAGCTGTGAAGACCAACTCCAAGAATTGAGGATCTGGCGAACTGCAGCCGTTTCAGCTCTCACCTACCACTAGCTGCGCATCGACAGCTCGCTGCAAGTAGCTGGTGTGACTAGCTACCAAATCCTGCCAATTCCCTGCGACATGCCTAAAGAAAAAGTGGTCGCACGTGTCGGACTCGGATCCGCACATCTTGGCGCAACTCAGAGATGATCTGGTTGACAGCCATAGCGATCGTCTGACTCAGCTCCTTGGCTCGGCCATCTTCCAGCTCCGCCGCTCCCTGTGCCCCATTCCAGGTCCCGGTGCCTCTCTGCTATCCGCCATTGCCAGCTTCAGGTCCGTGCGAAGCTGCTCAATCTCCAAACCGAGGCCAGCTAAGGCCTCCCAAGCAAGTCCCAATAATCGCCACGATTCACAACGAGGTGGAGGGACGGGTCCAGATTTGTTGCGGTCATGCAGTTTCAAACAGGAAAAGAAACATGGAATTGTGGGCTTGAGGTTTGTGTTCAGCGCAGCTTGCAAGAACCTGCACTGACAGCCGACAGCAGCTTATCATAGTGAATCTCCCCATGATACCATCTTCCATTAGATTCTATCACCTTTCCACGTCTACTCTATGTGATGACTTCACAAAAGAACAAAACCACTCAACTGACCTGTGTCTGTGCTCCCATCCGCTCTCGGGATGCAGTTCTTGTCCTTTGAGATGAGGTGGCTCCCTCGTAGACAGCCTGCAAGAGATTGCAAAAGGACAAGACACAGCTGAAGGAAGGTCCTACTTGCGCTGTGAGGTAAGATATGCTTGCAACCATGTAAGACAAAACTACAATGGCTCGCATCACCCTATTCGGATTCATTCACAGGAATGCATGCCCCACATTCCACCTCTTTGGCTAGCAAAGACATGCATATTACAGTAAATCCCTTTCAGGCACAAATACTAGCTAACTCTGCCTGGTGTTTTTACAGAATGGGCGAGCAGGCAATCTCTGAATGAGGACCAAATATTTGCGTCCAAATACTCACACATTCGATGAAGCAGGACTTCGGCACATTCAATGAAGCTGCTCAACGCAAGTGCTGTGGTGCTGCGGTGCTGTGGCAACACGAACCCGCCTTGCCTGGCCATTGCCATAAGGTGTCTGGAACCTTCCAAGAAAAAAAAGGATATGGGCCACCGGGGCCTGTGGGAAAATCCCAACAAAAGTGCAAATCATATGTCCAGGCGCACGTATCGATTCGCTGCCAGTTGCAGCGTTCTTTGTTGACCTTTGAGATATCCAAGGTTCGCATCCCAGGACCTTCCCGACCTAAAGCAAGGACTGTCTCCACTCCGTGACCAAAGCAAGACCGTCGGCGACCAGTGTCTTTCCAAAAGAGTTGGCTCATCTGAGGCAGTAGCCTGGAGTCTTTGGAGCCATGGAGTAGAACCTAAAGTTCTGAGAGTTCCCCCGCCTCCCCCATCCTCTGGTCTGAAACAGGAGCTCTCTAGATTTGTTTAGGATGATTTGTTACTTTTTTAGACCAAGACAGATCCAAGGAGCTATTTAAGAACCCATCGACCGCCAAATCTTGCATGCAAAATTGAATGGTGAAAGTTCTGAGCAAATAGCTCGCTCTCATGCAGATCCTCACCTCCTTGTCTGAGTGGGTCCTGTGCAATCGAAAAAGCTGAGAGGTCAAGATTCTTGATCAAGTTTGATCCAGTGTGGTTTTACTTTTTCTATGGGGTCAGCCTGCATGAGCTAAGATTTCTACTCAACAAGCAGTGCATACTTATACCTCATTGGACCTGGAAGGAAAGCACTTTCAACGATGACTCGTCATGTCAAGCCAGGCACCAGGCAGAGAAATCAATCTATGCTCTGGCCCTACTTTGGACATTGGAGGCCTTTTTAAAGGCTAGTAAAGTAAGGGCAAAGGAACTCTTGCACTCTGGACTGTTGAGGGTAAAGGAGCACCAACCATACCTGTGAACTTCCCTGTGAACTCAACATGGCACTTCTAGTATATACTTCCTCCGCACAGTGGAAAACCCATAACAGGACTGCCCCTTCTCCTTCAACTGGTGTTTTGCTGAGACAGAGGACACGAAGTGCCGGAAGTGTCCCGGACCCGCACCGATGCCTGGCGATGCCAGGAGCCCCTAGTAGCGTCCTTGCTCCTAGTAGCGATGCCCTTTGCTCCTAGTAGCGTCCTTGCTCCTAGTAGTAAGGCCAGGAGCCCCTAGTAGCTTCTTGCTCCTAGTAGCGATGCCAGGAGCCCCTAGTAGCGTATTGGCAACATTGGCAGAAAAGGATGTCAAGCTTCTGCTAAACCACTGTTCCCTACTCTCCCATACGGCACGTACACCAGTGTGCAGTCCAACTGCAGCATCTGTGTGGGTTTGTTGGGAATTGTTGCCAGTTTCGGTAGTCCTGACATCTTTGCACTCTGCTCGCTTTTGGGCCCTACATCATTTCGCTCGCAACAGAGAGTGCCTGATGCTGTGGATGAAGAACCGCAATATCACTTCACAGGGGAATAGTTTATTCATTTTCGGAATCAGTTGATGACTGAAATTGCAAACAATCGGGCCCACCACGGTGGAGTCCGCTTTGTAGCTCCATCATCTGCTTGATTGATTGTTTTTTGACTGATCTGACGTGTAAACTTTAGGAGGCTTGGGGCTTCAGTTCGAGTCAAAAAGAGATAGCAGGAAATCCGGCAAGTACACCCATATAGACATGCCCAACTTGGATAACTGTCCCCGTTACACTGTGCAAGCATCCCTGCATTCACCAACTGTCTCCCTCCGTCCAACATCCACCAATCTGGCGCACTTGCATCTGGAGGAGGCTGACTGCAGCCGTGCACCAAAGGGGCCTCTTTGGACTCCCGCGTGAGGCGGCCTGACAACCAGCAGTGTTGTGGCTCAATGATCAATGCATCAACCAAGGCAGGATTCTGGCTGCAGGAACCTTCTCATGCTCCTGTGTGGAATCCCTTGCAAATAGGCTGTGTTTTGCACAAGCAGCCCCCACCCCGTGCAGATGTTGGCCGTCCAGAAGCCATTGCCTACCGGAATTACTACTCCACTTTGATGATATAGATCGGGCTCAGGGTCAAGATCCTTGCAATGTCAAGTCCTCTTCGATGTTTGCATTGCTGTTTGAAGGCAGTGACTGATCCTGATGTTTCATGATTTTTGCAAAGGTAAGCCATCGCCTGTGGGCCGACAAGACAACAACTCCGCACGCACAGTGTAGTGAAGCTCCCTTGAATATATACACTGTCTCCATCACACAACAAATCCAAACAGGGGCCCTGCCCTACAAGACTCTCCTGACCAAAACCCTACACTTCTGGCATTACGGTTGCTTCATCACATCGTCACATCTTTCACTTCTCTTCCTCAGGCAAGGTTGTGACATTGCAGAGGGAAAGCGCTGTCACAACCAAAAATCACCGACTAATGCAGACCGAGGTTCTTTGCCTTCACACAAGCTGTTGGGACTCTAGCCACAATGTTTTTGATGTTATCGCCCAGATAACGAGAGCTATGCTGCTGCGATATGTGCATGGCCGTGTGCGCTTTGGAGATTGGGCACAGGGTGCCGCTCCAATGTGTTGCTACGAGTTGCTGCCAAATGTCGTGCCGCCACAGGGTGCCGCTGCTGCCGCTGCAGGGTGTTGTTGCTGGCAAAGCTCAATTCACGCGCAACGTTCAAATCAGGCAATCATCCCAAATCACATGTAACATGAAAAATCTCCACATCGAAGCCAACGATGCAATCCCAAACCCACATGTGTGTATCCCAATGTTTAAAGCAAAGCTTCGTTGGGACAGTTTTCAATATGGGGACGCTGTTTGATTGAGCAGGTGTTGTTCACCCGGAGACAACGACCTGCAAGGAGGGAAACAAGAAGGAAAACAAAAGGAAATAGAAGGAAACAAGACGGACACAGGGATCGACAAGAAGGTAGACCGCATATAAAGGGAGACAGAAGGAAGATGAGGCGGACACAATTGGAAATCTGGCAAACAAAAGCTCTTGGGGATCCAGGCGCGTTTGTCTTGCAAAAGATCTGAGCTCTCTTGAGCTTCCGGTTTTTACAATCAAGAAACTGTTGTCAATTAATTTGCCTCTCTTGATTTAAGATGATTGATTGTGTTCGGAAGCCTAAACCAAATTGGTGCATGTTTTTTGGGTGTGGGTCCAATGTTGCATTGGAAGGCGCGAAGAGTGCGCGTTCGTGCTTCAGGAGCACGCACTCATGTGTTGCTCTCGTGGTCGGAACACGTAAGTTTGACCATCTCCCTTTCGGCAAATTTGTTTGCTGTCTCGCCAATGGCTCTCAATGCGACGGAAATAAAACCAGTGATTTGAGCTGGATGCTTTTGAAAAGTCTTCTGAAGGAATGCAGTTCCATGTGATGTTCACTGTTTTTTTTCCGGACCTTTTGGCAAACCCTTCGTCTGGCCATGCTTGAAACTTGAAACACTTCCTCTTCTGAGGACCAGGAATTTGTAGATCTTGGCAGTCGTGGGATCATTCAACTTCTGAAATATCCTCTGCTGCGACTCAAACCTCCAATGCAGAGGCTCGCTGTCCATACTCTCTCTCTCTCTCTCTCTTTCTCTTGTTCTTGTTGGTCACATTGTATCTTGTCACCTTCTGATTCCTTCATTTGTCTTCAATCTTGTCTTCCTTCTTGTTCTGTTCGGCTTGTCTTCTATCTCCTTTTTGTTCCTTCTTGTGGTGATTGTTCCATCGCGGCCTCCAACCTCCCATGTAAAAAAAATTGGTGCACATCAACACATGTATTGAAGAAAAACACCGTAACAACAAACTGAGGTGTGGTGCAGATGCGGAATTCTCGCTACGGTGCACAAACCCAACCAGTTTTGGCATTAAAAAACAAACATACGAGCTGGGTTGGGCCAAGACACAAGAAAAAACATTTTTCAACCAAGCCAAACCTCCAGGTTTGGGACAAACTCATATGTCAAGGTCGCACAAAGCAGGACAAAAACAACGGAAAAGGAACGATAACAGATGAGCGGACGCGGATGATCAACAAGCTGACCTGAACGCACGGCTGGTGAAAGCACATGACAAAGAATTGTTTCCTTAAACATCAAGTCCAAAAAACCAATGAGAGATGTTGGAAGCAATGACACTCACGGTCTGCAGCACCAG